TATTAGAAGAATTTGAAGAGCCAACTGAACTTGAAGTGGAATGCTTGTAGTTGAATTCAGAAATAAGAGGACTTTGTTGTACATTTGGTTCTTTAAATTGTTTGTCTCTGTCAAGGAACTTTTCATAGTTTTGGCAAGTAGCCAGAAGAGAGTCGATAGAGTCAATGTCTTTTAGAGCTACGAAGACTGAATAACATGGGCGAATATTCCTCAAAATAATCTCCAATTGTTCTGTTTCAGAAAGTTTCTTCGAAAGACGAGTGAACATTCCAGACATGATGGAAATATAGATGACGATAGGTTCATCACGGCCTTGAGTTCGGTTCCTAATCGCTTCTAGAAGTTTATAATCATAATCAAAACCACCAAAGTCTTTGATTAATAAAGAGGAAAGTTCGTTCCAAGTTAAGTTTGGATTCTGATTATATTTAAATCTGAACCAATGAAGAGCATTGTCGGTGAAAATTTCAAATGCTTGAGAGATCAACAAGTCTTTGGATAAGCCACGAGCTAAGCAGTATTCTTCAAGTTTTTGAAGAAAGGATCTTGGACAGCTTTTACCATTGAACGTGTGTCTTTTCAGATCTTTGAAGACGTTAGTTGGAGAAAAAGATTGAGGTAGTGGTGAAGGATACGGGGTATGGATCTTAACAGATGTTTGAGAAACAAGAGGAGGTTCCATGACAATCGGGTCAACAGGAGGGTCAAGTGATGGAGAGTCATTTTCAGTTGGAGGTGGAGTCAAGGATTCGAATTGTTTAGTAATAGCGTCAAATTTCATCTTCAAAGTATCGAAAATAGCTTTAAAGTCTGGATATAAGTCAGTATCTATTCGCTCCAATCTGTAAAAAACATGATTAATAAAAGTTTCTATTAATCGTAAGTATTTGGTTTCACCTTGTAAAAATTTTTCAATTTTACAGTCCAGGTAAGTCAAAGTAGAACCAATTTGAGACAAGTCATCCTCGATCGGAATTGGAGAAGTCAGAATATCTTCAGGGTGAGAATTCTCAACTAAACGCAAAACCTGTTTTTTTAGAAGCAAAACAGTATTAGCTGGTTCCTCACATCTAATCTTCACTTCGTATTCGAGTTCGGCCTTGTTAAGGAATTCGTACTTAATAACCCGTTTCATTGTTATAATTAAGTGTTAAGTTTAAGAAATAAAAATTTAATAAAAAATTGTACCTCTAGAATAAAAATATTAAAGTGATGAATGTAAGTGAAGTGTTATATGTAGGTCTAAATGTAATCCAGATAAGTTGAAAAACTAGATGAAGTTTTGTTTTAGAATTTGGAAGATATGATAAGGATGAGTAAATAAAGAGTTAAGAATGAAAGAGAAAGCAATTCAATCAAAAGGAAATGGATAAGGCGTAGCTAAGGTGAAGAAAAGAAGAACTTTTACGTCGGGCGCCAAATTGTCGTGAAGCGACAATTAAAAACTAAATAACCTAACCTAACTACAACAAAACAACCAAAAATAAAATAAATTATTTAAAAATTTGAAAAGATTTACAGTTTCTTTTATAAAAAAAAGGTATGAAGGTGATGATGGGCTGTAATGATGATAGTGATTTACAATATTATTAAAAAAAAATAACAAAAATAAAGATACTGCAACGAAGTATGCACAGGCTATGCCTATGATAGGTGCGCAGCGCCTGCTCTAGGTACACGCAGAATCTGGAGAAAGCACATGCAGCGTCTGGAGAAGGTACACGCAGCGCTTGGAGTAGGCCCACGCAACGCCCGGAGCAGATACGCGCAGCACCCGGAGTAGACACGCAGCGTCTGGAGTAGGTACACGTGGCGCTTGAAGTAGGCAAACACAACGTCCGGAGTAGACACACACAGCGTCCGGAGTAGACACGCAGCGTCTGGAGTAGGAACACGCAGCGCTTGAGACAAACACGCTCAGCGGCCGAAGATAGCGCGGGCACTAATAGGTGGAGGCGTAGGCGTGGCTAGGCGACGACTTCAGGAGAAGGCTTGCAAGATCCCGAGGCAGTGCGGATAAAGCCTTTAAGAGGTGCTTCTCGTATCAAAGCTGAAGTGAGGACTCTATCGGCCGATTCTTCGGCTTTTATACTTTTTGACGGATCTGGGATAAGAACGAGAAATTATTTGAAATTATTTAAATTAAAAGCAAATTTTTGTAAATGGCCAAGAAGAAAAGAGTATTTTTGAAGTAAAAACATCAGGCCGGTAACAATATTTGAATAAAAATTGCCACGACAACCAGATAAACAACGATGTCAAAACATGTCAAATTTTGGTTTTAAGCTCGTAATACAGAAACGGCAAGATTTAAGTGAAAAATGAGATATTATTTATATAGGAAAAAAGGTAGCGCAAGAGCGCGCACGAAACCCGAAATTGTAGAGTTACGGAGAACTAAATAAAAGATCGAAAAAGGTAGACTCCATTGACACCGATTTAAAAAGTGCTGATAACGTGAAAATACGAAGTGAAAATGATTTGTTATTGTGTTCTTATGAATTAAAAATATTACAGGATCCTATGGAAATAAAGGTGATGCAAAATATCCAGTTTTGAGGTGAATGTAGAAAATCAAAAACAGAATGGAAAAATAAAAATAAAATAGTGTAAAATGATATGTAAGTATGTATGTAAGCATAACACTACACGCCATCTAGTTACTGCTAAAAAACTAATATTAAGTAACTGATCAAATTAAAAAGAATGTTATTGAATACTCATTCATGCAGCATTGAAAATTTTAAAACTTAAAATATCCAGACCGGTGGCCCCTGTTGTTGGGATGATCTATCGTAATTGTCACTTTTACCAAAATGCTGAGTGACAATAACAGCAAATCACTAAGTGAAGTGGTAAAGAATAACTTCGCAGCGAAACCTTGATGTCTGAGTAGTTTAAAACAAAACAAGTGAACATGTGAAAACCTCTATTTTCCACATGGATAATTAGCAGCCTTGTACACAACCGTAAGACGTATGTAAAAGCATAGACTATATGTAAGCTGCTTCTTTACTTTTAATGAGACATAAAACAGTTTGTCGAGTATTAAGATAGCTTTCATATTTTCAGATGTTAATATTATTGTGACAGACCCGGTTTCATAGCTGACACGAGTAAATGAACAGGCTTTTGTAAAAAGTCGGATGTGTATGTAGGCTGCTACTTTTTTACTTTCAATTGGGCTCTCCTATGCTGGTCATAGGCTTCTCCCATTGTTTATGAAATATTCCGGATATTTGCAGTGGTAGCCACGCTTGGCAGGCGGGTTGCCAACTGCATCTTTTTATTATTTTGAGCTGTAACCAGAAAGGCGTTGCTGCCCATCTTCTGTATACTTCTACTCCCGTTCATGAATATAGTTCCTATCACATTCATCGTGAATGGAATTACGTTATGAAATTTTGAAGTCTATTCGAACGTAAAAATATACCGGCACCTATTTTATGGTGCCAATCAATATTTAATGGGGGCTAATGGTCAAAAATCACAAATAAATACTAAAAAAAAAACCACGAAATTCAAGAATATTACGTCAAAACTACATCAACTTTAATTATGAATAAATATAAGTAACACATTTCTCATAATGGGATAATTAACTTTTATAAAGACATCGCAAGACATGCCCGAAATAAAAAAAAACGTTGCTAGACATATGGATTTCTGATAAAGTTACTATTGGGTTTCTATAGTATATTATATTGCCAAATTTTAATTATTTACGTCCAATATAGACACAGATACCGAGGTGACTCTACAAGTGACCCAATTTTGTTAATTTTGGCACGGAGTCTTATTAATGTTTCTAAATTGCAGCCCACGCTAACGAAGCCTCGGGTTAAAAGTTAGTATGGAATAAGTTGACGGCTGATTAAATGTAAATGCTGCGTGAACTAGTTGCCCTCTGTTGTTGCAGTGGTGATGAAGACGGTACGTTCGAGCAGGCGAAAAACAACCAGGAGTTTCTGATCGAGCTAGCGAAAAATAGCCACGGGATTGTGTTTCTTTGAGTCGGTTACAACGCTGAAACATCTGATAAATTGCCGTGGTTTAAAAGTTAGTATGGAATAAGTTGACGGTTCAGAGTAAGTGCTGCGTGAACTAGTTGCCCTCTCTTGTTGCAGTGGTGACGAAATATACGTATCGAGCTGGCGAAAAATAACCAGGAGTTTCTGATCCAGCTAGCGAAAAATAGGCAGGGGATTGTGGTTCTTTGAGTCGGTTACAACAATGAAACATCTGATAAATTTCAGATATAAACTGCTCTCTTTCATCTTCAGATAAATTCTCAAATTTTTGGTAATTACAAGGTCACATTTATCATCTTTCTAAGGTTGCAGAGTGCTTAATGTCGTTTTGAGTTTCGAAAGACAATCCTTAATTGTTTCTCCAGCATTTTGATTGGTCAGAGGGGTTGTTACGGTGACGAATAGTTTTAGACATTATTCGTTGACTGTAACAGTGGAGTAAAAGGCTTACTTTTACTCCGCTCCGTTTATGATGCTAGCAAAGGGTTTGCATTTACATCGGCCCTAGTTATTGTAAATCATAGCTTGACACCTATGTAAAATGTACAGTTTGTTTTTATGCTTGACAAAGGTAGCCAACATTTCGGTTACTTTATGAAGTCATCTTTAATAAAAGTTTGATAGCTATTGGATTTTAATTTCAAGCAGTAGTTGAAACACAAAAATAATTAAAAGTGGTGTTCATAACTATGCTTCTTACGTATAAGTTAAAAAAGTTTAGATTGCGAATTAGCATTGGGTGATTTTATTAAAGTTATTTAAAGGAAGGCTTCCATATTTTACTTGCACGGGTTGATTTAAATGCACTGGGTGAATTAAATAAAAGTAGATGTGAGACCGTCACAGTCTTTATTCCGAATAATAGTAATTATTTATAAATACAAATTGAGAAGTAGCGATTCACAACAAAATATTCCCTAGATTAAGTGTCCATTACTATACATCACTGCACTGCAGGCGTAGCGCTGCTCACCTGCTCAGCGAGTGTGAGCGCTCGCGCGAGCTCTCGCCGTTGCAGCGCGCGCGGTCACTGCCTGCGCGCACACACACACATTGCAATACCATCATATACTTTGCATCTTAAATACTATGTAAACAATACATATACATTATAAACAACACATCATGGTTCAGCGCAGACGGCAGTAAGGGATCAGTGAATGCTAACTAACTTGACACTACAATTGTTAAGGTCAATATAGCTATTTCTAAAGTAAATTAAGAAGGAAATTAAAGTACTGTAACTTTAAATAAGAAGTTTAAGGCGCAAGAATTGAAACTTCTTGAAATATTAATAATCGATTCCTTTTAACGCAGAAGTAGCAGCTTAATGCTGCCGTGTTTCCTATGGTGAGTGTAGAAAACCGAAGACCCTTTTGACTGGAAACGAGGCATTCCATTTCAGTCCTCTGGGTTGACATCGCATCTGAGTTGAAGAGATATCCATGGGCCATAGCATTCACTTGCCATCTGGTGGACCGCGCTCGTTTGTCATCCTTATTCAAAAAAATCGTTATATAGCCCGGTCGATATCACAAAACTATACAAAACCACCAAAGGAAAATTTAGACAAAACATGCTAATTAAGCAATTTTTCTTTACATATAATTAACCTTCATAAACAATGAAACACTTTTAAACATGTTATAACGATATACTTTAAAACGCCATATGTTTCAATGGTTCAATAATGTTATAAACAGAAAAGTTATAAAAAAGCAACAGTTTCTGTAAGCGAAGTCAAGAGCACACCGTCAAAACAAAATATTATAATTCATAACTGTGTTCATGTCTCAGTATGTGTTCCGAGTGAAACGAAAACAAAAAAAATTCCCGAGTAAAGAGCAATAAACAAAGACAAAAAGGTCTGACCTAAGGAACGACGGCCTTGTGAACTGGTGGCCTATAACAAAAATTATTACAACATATGACTGTGTGGCTGAGTCAATATAATATGTGTTCACGAAGTATTTGCTTTTAATATTATTATTTATTATGTACACTTTATGTGCTAAAAATAGTCGAAACGTCAGAAATTGAGAGAGAATGAGAGAAAATTTTACAACAAAAGCTGAACTATCAAATTGATATAAAAAAATAATGACAAAGGTTTAAATTAACATCTATTTGTTTTTCCAACTTTCGAAACGTTTTTCTTTATGTCTCATGTAAGTGATTTTTGCCTCAGAAATAAAAAAATTGCCTTTACAAAACTGTACGAAAAGTTAAAAGAAATAAAAATAATACATAATGATCAATTTACCTATGAAAATAGCGTTATTAATTTACAGTAGCAAGCGGAACGGAATATATATAAACCTAAATATTATGCAAAGTAACTAATTCAATCATGGAACACTTACAATTAAGTTGAGGTTGGTGGAGGCATTTATGATCATGTGCGATGATTTTTTGTTTTAATATTCTATGAGACTAAGTTTGGCGAGTGTATATGGACTAATTTGGTCTTTTGAGAATTTAATACCAAACCGCTATCGTGGCACCATTTATTATATTAAAATCATCCTGTAACAGAGACAGGGCATCATTTACATCCTTAGCAGCCACAAGCATACACGTATCATCGGCGTATTGGTGGTACGTACAATGTTTAAAGATCTTATTCATGTCATTGACATAGGCTATAAAGTGCAAAGGTCCAAGTACGGAACCTTGAGCTAGCTGTGCCTCCGGTTACTTTGACTGCTGTGCTATAGCTATCACAAATCCGAACACGGTAGCTTCTATTAGTCAGATAGTTTTTACACCAATTTAAAAGAGGTCCAGATATATATATATATATATATATATATATATATATATATATATATATATATATATATATATATATATATATATTGCAATATCTATGTTTTGGTGTTTAGAAGTACATTTCTTTTCTAGGTTATAAGTATTATAAAACAAAATGGCGAGTTCGAGAAGAGCGTCAACGCTGAAACAACGCAAGGAATGAAACCATTGAGCAATTTCTCAATGTGATTTTGATGACGATGAGATCGTTGAAGGGGCGGAGTCAAACGACGAACATGATGACATAAATCATTGAAGACTTTCACTGCGATGCATTTTCAGTCAGTTGAGAAGTCAAATTCAAAAGACAAGAAGAGAGACTTTAGCCAGCTTAGAAGCGAGAACTAGTATAAAAGTTCTGGAAGTACCCACAAGAATGTATGAAAAAAATTGGCCTACTTTGACCCACTATATCCGCCAAATGATAAACGACATACTCAAAACGTCCAAATGACATTTTACGACATGTGTTACTATTACTACTTTCTTTTAAGTTCATTTCTAAAGAAACTAATAAAAAAGTTTATATATATATATATATATATATATATATATATATATATATATATATATATATATATATATATATATATATATATATATATAAGAAAACAGAATTTTGTACATGTGTATAAGCATGTGTGTGTGTTTGGCACTGTGCGCGTATGTATGTAGAGCCTACTAAAGCACGTACCGAGCCTGTGGTGCGGCGGCAGCTTGCTGAAGAAGGGGTGCGCGAGCGCGTCCCGCAGCGTGATGCGCTGCGAGGGCTCGTACTCCAGCATGCGCGCGATCAGCTCGAACAGCTGCCGGTGCTCCTCGCTGTTGCTCTGCATGTACCTCTGCAACAACAACACCACAACTTACTCCACTTCACCGACTCAGTACTCGACAGTTACTCCTCTCCACAGGCTCAGTAATTCATGCTTGGGTCCATGTATATCCCAGAAAATATATAAAACTTCACCTCCTCAAAATATAAACAAAGTTTGTAAAAAAAAGGTTATTATAATATTAAGAAATTTATGGATGATAAGAACCCCTGGGTATAAAGGTGATCGGTACCAAGCTATTTCTAATTTATTTTGTGTCATTAATTGTAAACAGTTCGAAAGCTGTTTTTTTTTAAAAACAGCCGTTGGATTTCTTGCTGGTTCTTCTTCCCAGGATAGAGGTTTTTTGCCAAACCGGTGGTAAATTAAACAAGAGTAACTTTCAATAAGTATTATTTATAATCTATATTGACCAAAAAAGTTTGTTTCTGTTACTCTGTAAGGCTTTTGTTATTTGTTAATGATCCACTCACTACGAGTACAGCTTGTGAAAAGTGCACTACGAAACAAAATATACCTCCCGCATAAATTGCCTTATAGGGAAAAATCCTTATTTTTCACAAAGTATGCATGTAGTAGGCGTTACCAGCTTTGATCTGTAGGGTTAATTAGCGCTGGCTATTTATTTTTGTACAACATATAGTATTTGTTGCGCTTACCTAGCCTGCATAGCTGCTCGCATATATAAAAAAATTATCCTAGAGGCAAACTCAGTAACGCCTATTTTCCCCCGTCTATATAGCTTAAGATATGCACACTGAGCAAAGGACAATGCCGAACTCCCAAAGAAATTTTGTGACTTTTTTCTTGCGTCTACAAATGCAAAAAATGTAAAAATATAAGAGTTTAAAACCCTGAACATTTTTTTCTTCGGTCATACTACTGCAGAAAGTCAGGAATGGAGAAGATAACCATTTTTTGTTTTATATGCCAAAAAAAATTACAAAAAATTACGAGAATAACCGTGTTTTTAATTTTTTTTTCTATCTTCAAAACTGACCGAGATATAAAGGCGCATAGTTAACATTTTCGGTCTAAGCCGCGGGCCGAGAGCGACATCGTTGATGACATCACGATTTCCATCTTCGTGCGAGAGACCCGACGCGCACTTATAAAATCAAAACATTTACTCGAATGTGCCCGTCGCCCGCGGATTTACTTGCTATATATTTTTAACAAGAAACATTATAGAACATGTCACCATCTATTAAATATTGTGCTGTGTCTCAATGTAAAAATACGGCCACAAAAACACCTGAAGAGTTGTTTTTTAATGTGCCTAGAAACCCTACCCTCAGAAATAAATGGACAAATGCTATGAGAAGAGCACATCCTTTAGGACCAAACACGGTAGCATATTGTTGTGAGGATCATTTCGATGTAAGTATTCAAATAATAGTAATCTTCACATGATAGCTCTTGGTTATTGGTAGTAAATGCTTTCTATTAGGCATGTTGGTACCTACTCGAGTCGCAGTGTTTAAGTAACTAACGATTCATTGAACCTTTCCACGCTTAATGATCATTATAATATCAAGAAGAAACAATACCTAATACCTACATATTTAACTAAAACTACTTCAGTGTAAATAAACATCCAAACTTGGGTAAAGTACTTACCTATGTAATGCAGGTAAGTCAATGACCTGTCGTGAGTTCGTAAGTTTAGATACCTACCTATATTTGCAGCAAATTTTAAAATGTTTATAATGCATATAAAGGTTAAAATATGGAATATGTTAACAAACGTTTTTATATTTTTACAATATTTCAAGCAAAAACTAAACACATCGCAGAGCTGTTCAACCTGCATACTTTGCGGGCCGCAAATAATGGAAGAAGTTTGATTATGAAGTGGAGCACTTAAATTTTTTTTTCGTGTTGTCCTATTTTTATGTATTACATAGTTGGTACATATTTTAAATATTGATGGTATACAAATTACGAGGTTCCTTATTTTTTTATAGATTTTAAATAAGTTTGTATTTTGTCCTAGGTCGAAAACGATATGGAAAACTACGTGAAGTACAAACTATTTGGTGGTCCCCTCAAACTTAAAAAAGATGTTTTGCCTCACAAGTTTGCTTGTCGAAATCGGTATACAGAAAAACCACAAAGATGTTTCCTATCAAAACTAAATGTCAAATCTAGGTCAGAAACAGTTGCACATGCGATTGCCACTACTTCACAAGAAATTGAGCATAGATATGTTATCGATCCTGTTACTACTCTAGATGATAATATTGACATTGATCCCTTGCCTGAAGAATATATAACTACGCTTTTGATCATAATAATAATGCGACCCTTTTTCTATTAATATTGAAAACATCTGATTTTTAGATAAAATCATATTTTTATACACCGAAGGTATATTTGTAGTAAATTTCTTTATATACAACAGGAATTTGTTTTAACCATAAAAACCACAAAAAGGTCAGGGTACACTTATGAAGAACAAGAAAACAAAACTAGTTAGAGGCAGATAGTAAGTAGGTAGGTAAGGAATGTTTACGTATTTTTGTTATACTTATTCTTATCATTAGCAAATGAAACCCAGAAGTATTAATGTAATAATGGGTACCTAGGTTATGAAATATTATCTTATTCTTATGCGTATTTCAGCCGCGACAAAATCTTTGTTTCTTAAAAATATTCCGCCACCATCATGTCACGGACTATTGAAAGGTTGTCAGATTGATCTTTTGAAACCCTTCTTCCATCATTAAATACTTAAAAACACCAGAGCGCACGAGGGCAAACAACTCACCCGCGAAATATTACTACAAACATTGATTTATATGACTACAAACTTACAAACGTATGATCGGCGCGTTGGAACGGTACGGCGGCGCAGCCGCATGGAATCGATGACTTCACGCGCTACTCGCGGGCACGGGCGAGATTTTAAAAATGTACGTAAACTTTCCACGCTTATAACTTCGGTAATAGTGCACCGATCGATGTGAAATAAAAACTAGAGTTATGTGTTTGGTTTAGACATTTTACCTACGTACTTAAAAGTTTAATATTGTAACCTTGTTATCTTCTCCATTAAAGACATCCCAGTTTAAACAAAATACACATCAGACTAGGCTGTATGGTATAAAACGCCTTAATTTTCAAATCGTTACGAATCGTAACAACTACAACAACCACCTAGTCAATTAAGTTTTGAATTGTGTATTATGATTTTTTTCCAGACTTCGATAGGCCATAAGCTTGATTAGATAACACAAAGTAAAATATTTTATTGATATCTGTAATGGTGACTTTAGAAGACGCTTAATAATTCCATCACATATTATTTCGCTATTGTCCTTTAGATTTTTGCAGTACAAATCAGAGTACTTTATTTTAACGTTTTTCTTTAAAATTGGTAATTTTTTTAAATTAGGTTTAAATATTCCTGTCCAAAACTGAATAAAAAAGTGAGTTTCATTTATCATCAACATAATCAATACAATGGCGAACAAGGTTTTAGAATTTAGAAAAGAAGGGTACAGAAATTGCAATTTGCTAAAGGCCCATAATTTTAACTGGCCCCTATAAAACTTCAACTTTTTGAACATCTTCGGTTCGGTTCTTGACTTGAATAAAATTGTTATGTTATCATGTTAATTAGCAAGAAAATAGAACTTTTTAACGTAGCAGAGCCATACTGCAGCTATATTATAGTTGTAGCACGAACGGGTTGGCTCGACTGGGGTAAAGAATCATGCTCTAGAATATTAGCATAAATAATGCTGCAGTGTTTAGTATGGTGAGTGTGTGGCGGCGCTGTCGTCCCGCCACAAGCGAAACACACCGAAGCCTAAATCACGCTATCAACATTCCGAATCATAAACAGTATATATAGAACATCTCCGAACTATCACACGGAGTGTTGGCCGCTCCCCGGGTAGAACACCTTGCCCGGCGGAAGATTTTCCCTTTTCCTTCTACGGCCACAAGTGCACCTTTTTACTTCTAACGAGGCATTCCATCTAGTCCTCAGGCGTGACAACGCATCTGCATTTTGACTTCTAATTGAGGATTAATGTAGATATCTATGGACTATTGCATCCACTCACCAGGTGGACTATGTACTCATATGTCACTTATTCTATATAAAAAAGACGTCTGGCACTCGGGGACTGCCGCGGTAAAGCTATTGCATAGCATTTTCCATCAACTTATGCAGTATTTCTTTTTCTTTGATATTAATTCAAGTTACACTTTTTGAGCGTGGTGACCGATAAGAAAACAAATTTTTTTCTTTTATTAAATAAATAAAAAGTCAATATTGTTTAAAATATTTTTCTTTTTTTTTCTTTTTTAGCTCTTTACGCTTTTCTTCTATATAAAACGAAAATATCTAGGTATAATTAGGTATAAATAATGTAATGACACACCAAAACAAAATTATTCATTTAAAAATAATAACGATATTAAGAAGTGATTATCGAATTTCGCGCGATGTACATTTATATAGATATAATATCATATATACTTTCTCTGCGCGGCATTCATGTGAATTACCTATACACCAAAAACAAAGGTACTGAATAGTACACGTGCTTGATTCGATGGCTTCTGTTATATACATAATGAAGAATAAATTTATATATATATACATATTGAAAATCTAAATTGAGAATTTAAACTATACGCGTGTGTGTGTTTGTGTGTATAAAAGAAAGCTACTTTTAATATCGCTCATTTTAATATCAAAAATTTAGGTTTTCTTTATAGCAGTATTATATTTTCAATTCAAAATTAATACTGCAGTTGTGATAATAATAAAATGTATTTATATAGAGTACTCACTCATTTTCTTTCACTATTTTTTCGTGACTTTCTTCATTAATAATAAATGCACTTTGTTCATTCATATTCAAAACACTTTATACACAAATTTTACAAGTACAGCTATTCACTGTTGTACATAAATACCTATACACCTATATACTTTCTCATAAACAGCTGCTTATGTATTCGTCCGATTTCGGAGCAGCTCGTCTCGATTCGTGCGAGCTTCGTAGAGTCGTACAATACGTCTAGTTGCACGCACTCAAACACCGTGTCGAAGACTGCCGAAAAGAAACGACGTTAGACAATGCACGGCCTTCAAGCCACACCTCCGTGCCCGTCGGAGTGGGGAGCGCGAGTTTTTTTTTCGTTACGGAATTTCTGGATTCGGTCCCCGCGCTCAAGACACGCGATAGAAGCTATGTATATATTAAAAAGTAGTTATAAATGTTAATTATATAATCAATTATAAAGGTGTCAGGTATTGTGTTTAGTTTTTTTGAAGACATTTCTCTACACTTAATGCAATTGGCTGATTTTATTCAAGATAAGCAAGTAGAAGCCTTTAAAATGTCAGTGTTAAATTGTGAACATTTGGAAACATAACCCAACTTGTATACAAAACATTGTATACCATATCAATGAATCTATGGTGTAAGGAGAGAATCACTCCAAAGAAAAAGAATTGCTTATCAATAAGTAAAATTAAAAGTAACAAATACGAAAAATATCAAAATAAATACGTAATGATTTCTTATACTTACGTGAATATTGCACATGGAATAAAACTAACTTTATGGATTTTATCGCGTTTAAGTTTACTTTTTTAATTCCCGACGTATCGGACACTTTTCAGCGCCCATGGTCACGGGGAGGGAGACTGAGGTGTTTGAGGTCCCGATTTCATAGGTCACGAAAGTTACCTTCGTATTAATTTTTGGTCCGATCTATGCAGAACAAGCTTACAGTATCCTGAAGTCTTTCAATAGTAGGCTTGGGTTTGGATTTAATTTTATTAATTATTGGATCCAAAAGCAGATGGTAGCACCCAGTCATCGTCCCGTTGAAATTTGAATGTTTTTTAATTTCAATAGCCTCGCGAATCATCGTTGGTAGGAATCGCCGTTTCAATTGTGAATCTCACCACCATCCTTCACAGTTAGCTAACGTGGGAAAATCTTTGTTTCAGAGAGCATAAGAGATCTGTGACAATAAGCACCTGGTCGCTGAGCCCCAGCGCGTCAAGAAAGTTCGGCACGACAACAAGCTTTTGGTCCCCATAATTAATAAAATTATATCCAATCCCAAGCATACTACTCTGCAAGACTTCAGGATACTGTAAGCTTGTTCTGCGTAAATCGGACGAAAAATTAATAATTAAAAGTTAAAGATAGTCATGGGAGGAAGGTAGCCACTAGGTAATTAAAAGTATAAGTAGTAAAGAAGAGAAGTCGGGATTTAAAAATGTTAAAATTAAACGCGACAACATCCGCAAAATTAGTTTAATTTAAAAAAAAATGGTTATTCAATTGCAATCACTTTATACAACCAGCACAAGAAATGGGATAAATACTGCATTAATTTGCTACTTTACTTTGCTACTGCATTAATCTAAAGCGAACTAGGGCAGTAGAAAAAAAAGTTATGAAATACTTAAAAGTAACGTTATATAAAAGCACAATTGCAAGAAGCTGCCACTTTCACATTGGGTTAAGTTAAAATTAAAATAAGATTATTTTTACAAATTTGAAGTGGCAAACTGACATCCAATAATTAAGTGCTACTTAAGCTAATATATATTTGATTTGATTTATGAAGGCAAGTATAATTTAGTCATTACTAAGTTCTTAACCAAGAATAAAAAATTAAAATATAGACTTTTTTTTTAAAATAGAATAAAGGTAACAAACGACCATACAGTCCACCTGATGGTATGAGGGCGACACTGAAAGTTTTTAGAACTGGCCACTTGTAAACGATATAATAAAAAAAAGTTCAAATTTTGTGTATGTTTTTTGTTGTTGTTCATAAAATACAACACAATATTATTGTGTATGTATTTTATGAATCTGTCATTTGATTACGATTTGGCGGCAAATTGAAAAATGTCTGTGTGACGTCAGCATGAATTTAACGTGAGAAAATTTTCGTACAAAGATTTTGACTTTCGATTTCGATGGCATTTAAGTCAACAACAAAGTTATGATAGATTTCGATTGGCCTTTCACGATGAGGCCCCATCTCGAGCCACTGTTTACCAACTGAATTGGTATAAAATGAGTTCAAACGTGGTCGCACTAATCTCACCCGATGATCTGCGTGAGGGACGTCTTCTACGACTAAGACTGAAGATAACATCAGTGTTGTGCGGCTCATGATAGAGACTAACAAAAGAGTGACTTATTAGCAGATTCGGACAAGCTTGGGCATCGGTATTAGTCAAGTGTACTAAATCCTCCATGAACATTTAGCTGTCAGGAAGTTTTGTGCTAGCCGATCGGTCTGTGTACCATCCCAGTACACCGTTCCATACCTTATTACACAGTAAGAAGGTACGTTGTATGTTAGATGAATAACTAATATAATTTTTAGATTATTGTACTGATGTCCAACGCCCATGACGGCTATGAAGTAATTTCTCTTAATTTAGAAAGGCGTAATTTAGTAACTAAAAGAATTCTCAAAAAAAAAATTCAATTTTATAATTAAAATATATATATAAAATTACATATTGAAACTTATTTTATATTAGAAAAAAGTACGTCGCAAAAAATATCTTGGAGCTCACAGCATGTTTACAATAAATTATATTAAATTCTGAAAAATTTACAGTGTAGTTCTTTAATAACTTTTTAGTACATGTGTCCTATCGCAGTTTGGTTTTAGTTATTAACATTATATATATATATATATATATATATATATATATATATATAAGTTTATGTCTGAACCAAGTGGTAGGAGCCATTTCTGCCTGCGAGTCGGTAGTCTGGGTAAGTATCACGCTCTTACTAGTTCCCGGTATAGATAAAGGCTGTAAGGCATCATCTCAGTTCGTAGAGGTGACAACTTACAACTTTGCTGCAAGTTTCCATGGGCTGCAATAACCACTTACCATCTTCAGATGGACTGTAAGTTCATTGGATACTTCACGTTTTAAAAGAGTTATTAAGTAACGAAATGAATTCTCATAAAATTTTAGTTAACTTAATTTTAATTAGGTTCTGAGTAAACGTAGTGATTATATACTCTTTGGTTCTAAGGGGTCCCTCCTATATATTACTATACTCTTTGAAGGGGTCTACAAAGGTGACATATGATTATCTTACGTATAGGTTTGGTACGTGACAGATTAAGCCTAGCAGGTGCCCACCTGCAACCAATTCCAAACAAAGAAGGTTACAGATGCGATGACATCTCCGAGGACTAAGGTGTAGTAGCTCTCTGCCTGTAATTGTTGTCTCTCGATCGGGACACATCAGTACACGCTATAAAGTGTAGAGGTAAGGAGTACAGGCTCTGTATAAAAAAGTGTCCGTAGAAAAGCGCTAAATAAGGGTGGCGCCACTGTAGCTGCAGTCTAAATTTTAAGAAATTTTTATAATTTCTTTATTGCACAGACTTACACCATAATTCTTTTTACAATAATTATTTTATTGCTTTAAAAATTTTATTTTCAAAATCACTCTCAACATATTTTACGGCGATTTATCATACCCTGTAGCTACTCGAGCGCTGTAGTAGAGTTTTTGAACTGTACTGCTTACAGATGGACACTTTTTCAACTATTCTTCTATGGGAGTTGGCACTCCCTACTTTTACACTCCATAGTGCACGCACTGATGCTTGGCGGCTGAGATGGGTGAGACGGCGGTACCTGCCCAGCGAGGTCTGGAGAGGTTGCCCAGAGAGCCTTTCTTATGCTAAAAAGGAGCCCTACTATCTGCAAACACTATTAATTAGAAACATAATTTCTGCTACTCACCAATAGTGGTTTGCAATTTTCTCTAACATATCTGCCAGCCGACGATTTTTCGTCCCAGTCTAATTTGCCATGGTAGAAATATTTTGTTCTTGTCTTTCTTGCCATTCTGTGAAAGTGATACATGATAGTAAGTATCGATCCTTCAAACAACATTTAAAAGCCTATGCCGGATTACAATTTGAAGAGACAATGATAATACATATTGAATAATGAATATAAAGTTCAACACACTTTAAATAGTTAAGATTTTTCTTTTGAAAGAAAGAAAGGCAAAACATATTTGTTTCTAAAATTAAAAAAAAACTTAATAACAAAATAATAAGTAAAAATAAAATATATAAAGTTCACACCGGATAGCAGTAATAAATAGGCTACTGAATCAGCATAATTCTACGGCAACAAAGTTACCGCAGCGCTGATATTCTGTTGAAGTCACAAAGGAGATTTCTATTCTGACATTAAATACATTTTTAAACCATTGACAAAATAAAAAGTAAATTTAAGAGACCTGTATGGAATGGGACCGAGGATCCTCTCCATCATGGCGAGGTGCTCGCGGTTGTCGTGTGTCTGGAACAACGTGATGCCGAGATGCAACTCGAACATGATGCAGCCAATGGACCATACATCACATGGCTGTGACCAACCTAGTTCTGTAAAACGATACCATATACGTATATTGTAGTTTTTAAAATTTTTGAAAGCAAAAATATGGAGTGGTATTTAAAATAAAATAATATAAAATTGTAAACAAACTTAGGCTTCAGTAATATTTGCCTTGATAATATTCGGTAATATTATTATTAAAATAATTTATGTTTTCGAACAGAGAGAACTAACAGTTTGTGGTTTTCCGTAAATGTGTTTCGCGTTTGCGGAAAACCTTAGTGCAAGCTCCGATTGTTTTGATGTACTTTGTGGAGTAAGAGCCTTTTACCTCCTTTAATAAAATATCATAAAAACATAAATCGGTAGACATTTTACCGTCTATATTTTTGTAACCGAATAAAAAAATATTCCTTCCTTGGGCAAAGGTGTGGTGTGTGTATGTGTATATTAACTCTTTTAGCGAAACAATGTTTGTTATAATACAGTCGAAAGTATTCAGGAAGAGCTATTATTGTCATTTTACTGGTATAAAATAATTATTCTATGTTATTTTTTAATAATAATCGATTTCTAAATATTAGTCATAAAGTGGGTGTGTAAAAGAACCAACTACCTCAATACCATCCCATGGGTGTCATAAAAGTAGGCAGAAGGAAATCAAACAGAATATGTGAAGTAGCATCTCTCCAATAACAACTAAAAATAATAAAAAAACTGTGGTGGCCAATCCACTTGCCAAGCGTGGCAACTATGGCAAATGTACTCTTTAAGGAGCAGTCTATGGGCGGGTATGTTTGTTGCAGCAGTTGCAGTTGACTTAGATAGGCTGTAATGGTTATGATAATAAAATAATTCGCGATAACGGCAGCATTCTATGTGAGTAGTAACAATAAATTAGCACTAACCCAATATGACTTCAGGCGCTCGGTAATGCCTGGTGGAGACGATGGTGCTGTGGTGCTCGTGGTCGAACGTGGCGCTGCCGAAGTCGATGAGCCTCACATCGCTGCGTTTCACACGCAGCAAGTCATGTGTCTGCGAACACGAACGATTCATTTGTACTCCGTGGTTAATTTCACAACTAATCATCCAAATATTTTTATACTTTAAGGATAAAAACAGATGAGTGACAAGAGAGTTAACAGACCGTGTGATAGAAAGTGGTGTCCTATTTCAAATAAACACCACAGATTCATTGCCATCCCTGAAGGCATAAAACTGTATTGAATCTAACCTTCGAAACGGGTTATTCCGTTTATCCATCCTAGAGTGGATACTCGGAAACGATTGTTCATCTTTCCACCCCAGACGGTGATAATCGGAATTCGTATATATTATTTTTATGTACAGCCATTTATAGAAACATGAAAAAAAAACTGGCTGAAAATACTTAGCAGCCATTACCTATTAAAATATGTATGTTCATACTTCTTGTTTGAAATGTCAATGTTGAAATAAAAGGAGTACTTCACAGGATTACAGATTCATTGGAATCTTGGCACAAAATAATTTATAATGAATTTAAAGCCAAACTTCCAATCGTAACGTTTTTGGAATGCTTGCAAAAATGCCCAGTTCTTCTCTAACGCATCTGTGATAGCAAAAAATAAAAAAAGCTGATTGCAAATGTTTATTATAAGTGACGAATTTATCCAGGATATCAAATTTGTAATGAATAAATTTGAAAGGAATAAATTACATTTACTCAATAATGAAATTAGTGTTGGTAATTGCTTGGAAATATTGCAGAATCTATAAATTCCGCAATAATATTACGTATATAAAATGAGGAAGTTTAATTTGATTTAAATGTAGTGTGGTCATCAACAGGCCGTAACGGTAACGATAGGGGCAATACGTTATAAGCTTTTGTTAAGGTTTGTGGTTTTTACAAAAAGAAAAATGTGTATGTGTTGAACTGTATTTGGGGTAAAAAGTTGGAAGAACAAACAAAGTGAATTCCGATTACCACACTCCATCTAGGGTGGATAGATGAAAATGTGTTTCCGACCATCAACCCTAGGGCGGATTAACGGAATAATCCTTCAAAAAGAAACACAATAGAGATTGTACTGCTGCCAAAGCCAGGAGTGCTGGTACTGTGAATACACTGTTTCCTCACCTAGTTCCTAATGATTTAATTATATATATATATATATATATATATATATATATATATATATATATATATATATTTTTTTTAAAAATCTATAGGAATTTACTAGAAATCATCATTACAATAATAATTCCGTAAGTCATCAGGCAGAACAGGAAAGTTACTTGCATTCCGACAAATGTTTAAAAAAATTTCATCTAACTACAAAAGTTTTTAACTTCATCTTCATTTCTCATCTCAGATGCAACTTTTTTATTCTGTCAGCTACTGGAATTGTTATTTATATTAATCTGTATAATACAATTAACAATGTACAGGTACAAACTTGTTATTTTAATTTTATAAGACGTAAACGAGGAAACTCAAAATAAGAAAAAGAAGGCTATGATAGTGTAGCTAAGTAAAAATAAATATTTAGAATTATGAATAAAAATGTTTTTAATGACTAGAAACAAATAAAATGACACGGCAAAATTATATAAAAATGAATAACAGATACAAAATCTACAATGGCACAATTTTAGATAGAAAAATATAACAAAAAAAAATGCATTACCTTCTTAGAACTAGTATATACACTGACGATCTCGTAGTCACTATCTACAAACAATATGTTCTCTGGCTTGAGATCTGTGTGGGTGAGTTTGTTCTCGTGCAGGAACAGCACACTGTATATCAACTGGTAGGAGATATGCCGCACCTGTTCCAAGGGGTATGGCTGATAGTTGTTGTCTTTCTGTGAACATAAAGAGAAATTGTAAGTTATGAAATTTATTAGTGTTATACCACCAAAACTCCTGATATGTCCTCATGAGGCTGTACAGCTGATACGATACAGATACTTGTGTTAGATAAATTTCACTTTAATTACTATTTCCATTTATTATTAGTAAGTTATAAGTAGCGTTGGGCCGATTAGCCGCCGACTAATCGGTGAAGCCGATTAATCGGCCTATTTGTAGTTACCGATTAGTCAGCGATTAATCGGCTAAAACCGCCGATTAATCGGCTAAAACCGCCGATTTTAGCCGATTAATCGGCGGTTTTATTTTATTAATTTCAGCAAAGGTTTTATGTGATTGTCTGCGTGTTAAGTGCGGCCACATTGATATGAGTAAAGCCTTAAATTTAAGAAAAGAATAGTTTTTCTCCCATGCGTAAAATCACGTCAGATTTATATGTAGGTAAATCAAATGAAAATAAAATAAGTAGGTTCATACATATCTTTTATAGAAAAATCAGTCTCACATGTTTTAATGTTAATTGTTCTGGACATAGGAACTTTGGTAAAAAACAAAGAATCTGAGGTAGCAATTTAAAACTAAACAAAAACCTAAAGTACTCACTATTTTAATTCTACATTTTAACGTTTTCTAATCGTAATGCAGAGTACTAACACAACAAAACAAAAATTTAATAATGTTGTCATTAATAAACTTAAAAAAAAATTTAAATCTCCCTTTGCATAACAAAAAAACACTGAATCCTTAAATAATGATTTTTAATGAGAAATGGCCGATTAATCGGCCATTTCTTAACCGATTATTTGGCTAATCGGCCAAAGTACCTACTAATCGGCCCAACTCTAGTTATAAGTCAATTTCATTCAAAAACATCTTATTTTTTTGGAATATTCTTTAACCATGGATTTGATATAGTTATAAATCGTAATATAATTTATGTTAATAATAACTAATAAATTTGACCATACAACAATTGTATCAGTTCAATTTTATGTTTAGGATTTTCTAAAGCATAAGCAAAGGAGATATACCAAAAGAATAGAATAAAGTTTATTTATAGAAAAACATACTTACCAAAAAATCAAATACGCTTTGTCCGAGCATTTCAAATGCGATGCACATGTGACCGTGATATTCAAACCAGTCCAACATTTTTACACACAAACTGCAAAAGAACAATACAAATAAATATTAAGAGCCATTTTTCGCTGTAACACTGCTTTATAAATAATGATGTTGCAGTAGTTTATAATGACAAAAGCAGTGATAGACATTCATCATAGATTATATTAGAGGTCCAAATACTATAAAACATACATAAACACGAAATATATAGGAGACTATTTATTGTATACAGTCACAGCTTTATTAAAGTATATTACTATATTTTAATAAATGCTGACTTACATATAGCAGTAACCTATGAAAAATATTTAAACCGATTTTTTATTACTTCCTCACAAAATAACGAACCTGAAATAAACAATTCGGCAACGCTAGTTCTGGTCTCGTATCATAGCCAAAAATTTTTTTGATTTTTGTCTTTGCACATAAGCATAATATGTAGAACTTCATCCCAATAAAATGTTACACGCACACAGGTTAGATAAGACGAGTGAATGATTTGTTTATGGGTACATTAGTGCAACTGTATCTCCTGGGAAGTTGACAGCTACAGACACTGACGGGAAAATACCGCTGCGGCCTATATTGGCTATGAGAACATAATTATAAGCCAAACCTTTTTACCTAACTTATGAGTGGTAAGTTTTTATCATATATCTCAGGCAACATTAATCAAGGTCATTTCTAAAATTGCGAGTTAGGTATAAACTATAAAATATTTATATTTTCTATTTAGAAAGCGCTAAGCGAGCGGATCACAGATGGTATTTTTGTGTTTTGGTTGACATCGAGTTCTTCGTTGGCGACGTGCCAGTGACGGCCATAACTTCGGGTATAAAGACGCAAGGTCAAATATTGCTACATTCGCGAGCGTCACTCAATAATGGCCGCTACAATGATCAACAGTTGATAATGCGTCATGCCAACCTTACAGCATTGATCTTTTGGAATTTAAGATTCTATTATGGAAAGATATGAAGTGAGTAGAATATAACGTGATAATTTCTTGTCAAAGTTGTTAAAATTAATTTGTTTATAGTTTGAAGAGCACCTCTGGCCTCAATGACGTGCACTATCTCCGTCACCAATAATACCAGCATCACCGCTCTCAACACCACTAAACTAGAAAAGACACCACTTTTGGCTCTACACGAGACATCCTCAGGTGAAGTAGACTCTGCGGTGGTTGACCGCAAATTCATTTTTAACTACTTAAATATAATGCATTTTCACAAAGTAACGCCTGATTCTTTTAAATATCTTGAGTACACGATTATATCAAATGGAAAAGTAAGTAAACGGGAGGTTTGGTTGGAATGCCTGAGAGATAGGCAGTCACAACATCCGAGATCAGGAAACAACTTCATTAAAGAAAATTATGTTCTCAGGTCTCAGTGGAAGTTAGTGTGGCACTTTTAGGTTGAAAAGTTAACTGGACCCCCAGTCTAGAACAACAAGAAAATTAGTGAAATATCAAATATCAGTACTTACTGTTTACAGTCTGGGTCAACTTCTGCCAACTTTTCTAATACATTAATTTCTAATTTTGCAGCCTCTCTGTATTTTTCAACATTTTTTATTATTTTCAGAGCCATTCTATGCTCCCTGAAAAAAGAAAAAATAAAACTTACAACTCTATGTAATATAGATAAGGTAATTATGTTTGTATTTTACAAATAGTTTACGTTAGATACAGTTATCTAATAATTAATCGTTTTTCATACTTCTCTTGTCGTTTTTATATAACATAATAAAATGATCAAAGTTTAAAGTTCAGATTACAATTATCTAAATACAATGACGGAATATAATAACAGTCAAGCCTTAAATAAAGAGTGGAATTTGCTAGCAATAGCTACTGAAGGTAGACATGCTAATGTAAACAAATGAAAATAGAGCTTGAATAATCAGTGTGCACACTCTGCCAAAACAATGTGTGTCGCGTACTGGTGTGTGTGTGTGTGTGTGTGTGAACTAAATTATCCACAACTGAGAAATAGATGCCATTTCCGTATATTAATGACTAAAGAGATATACCTAATTTCAGTGTATTAATGGTAAAGTTAGGTCAAACTGACATTACTACTTTTAAAAATGATTTTTATGGAGAATGGGCAATATTTCAAAAGATATACATAAAGCTTATCAGGTTGATGTAGAACCGGTTGCAATTGATGATAAAGGTTATGTGAATAAATATCAAATTTTCTGTTGATAAGAATTTGAATGATGACTCTCTGTATTCCGGTCTGAAGGGTAGAAGAGCTAGCTAGTGTAATTACAAGCTGTGAAGCATTTAATCTTAATCTTTAAAGCTGACGATGCATCTGTAGAACATCCTTTGTCATACACACAGCAATGCAATTTGTACAGTCCATAGACTGCAATAGTCACTTACTATCAGATGAACTGTAACTTTGATTTTCACTTCAGATTTATTAAAAAAAAACTTACAATAGACAACTATTACCGCATAATTAAAATGCAAGATAACAATTTTCTAGACTAGAAAAAAAAATAAGTTGAAAGGAAAAACCACTTACATTTCCAAGTCCTTCACCTCGACCACCTTCCCGAACGTGCCCTCGCCAAGCGTGTCGATGATCTTATCTGAAAGCAAGCGAGTACATTATTAATGAACTGCGCGCAAAAGAACTACTCTGATGGAACTAGAGGCATTATTCACTTCCATCTCGAGATAATAATTTGTGAATGTAAAACAAAAGTTCCCAAAGTAAAAGAGATTTCTTAAAGAAATTAACTGTTTTTTTTTTGCTGTAAAATTTGTAAAACAGAAAAATTTTTGCGTTAAAAAAAGTAGTGGGTATAAAATAAATAAGTATGAACTTTTATTTAAAATTGTAGTTTTAAACTGCCAAAGTTAGGATTTTAAAATTAAATTATAAAAAAAAATTAAAAGCAAAAAGTTGGAAGTATGAAATCTTCACAAAACACCAATCACTGATCTGGATCGGGCTTGAATGTACTGAGAAGTTACGCTTCGATTATCTGTCATTTGTTAGAGTGTAAAGTAAATTTTGAATTCAGTGTAGACTGGTTAGAAAACTTTTACAAATGTTAAACAAAAGCTGCTTGTATGTACATGTGTCTGTATGAGTGTATGCGTGTCGCATGTTGATGTGTGATGAGGTGGGTGGGTGGCGTGTGTATGGTAAAGTTATGTTGTGGACACGAACATCTCGCTCCCATGACATATCCGGGCCAGTACACCAGGTGTCCGTCCTTGTCGTCCTTGACGGAGGAGCGTGCCCGGGAGCTCTGCAGGCGCCGCACCGCCGCCGCCGCCGCCGCGCCGCGCACGACCGCACCGACCGCACCGACGCCAAACGCCACACGCCACACGCCACATGCCACGCAGACGGAGAGCGCCACGCGATCGCCACGGACCCGAGTTGTGTTGTACCCAACAATCAGACAATGGAACGGTTGCCCGTCAGACAAGCGACTATTGGTAGTGTGTCGTACATGCTGTTAGAGGGCGGACGGGTGGGCGCTGCGGGTCGCAGGGTCGCCGGCCTGCGGTGCAACTCATCACTGATCAACACAACGCAATCACTCATCACCCTCTCACAATCACTCCAAAGTTGCACACTCCGACGGGATTAAAACCAGTGTCCACCCGAGCCCTTACTTTATTATTATCATCAAGTATACTAACACCCGAAATGGAGATACTATTCGAACTTCTTCGTTTACGATCAGCGTTCGCAAATATCTTAATACAAAATAGAGACATCATGTTAGCTTTAACAACACGCACAAATAAACTTATCACATGCATTACCATCGCACAGGAATTGATTTTGCCCTAATCCTTTAATGAATGTCAAAACACTGTTAGTACGTAAAACTAATGCATCTTTGTCTTGGTACCGTCGTAATTATTTTTTATTTATCATAGATGTTATTAAAACTACCTTCAGTTCTAATATACATTATTGGAAAATGCATGCATTCAAAGATTTCATTTCACTGCATCCATTGCGAATTAATAATCTTTATAATGTTTATAATATTATACTAATATATTACAGCTTTTATAATATCGTAACATCACACTGACGCAGATAGATAACTTTAGAAATCCTAAAAAAAATATAAGAATAATTGGATGGTTTAAAAAAGTGAGTAGTGAAAAGCACGGACCAGGTAAATGTTAGCGTCACACAGAGGCGGAGGCGGTTAGCTTGTGCTTACAGGCGGCGTCGCCGCTCGCCGCATCAGGTGGCGAGGCCTTTGAGGCCGATGCCTCGCTCGCAGTTCTGGCGGTAACACCACCACGTCGCCCACGCCTATTGGTTCTGGCTTCCGATTGATGCTAGGAACTTCTGTGAAGCCATTGGTTTCTTTCTCCGTAATGCGACCGTATACTTCGTCCAAGTGCGCGTATTTCATTATCAGACTTTGAATTTCTTTGCGTCTAGTTTCGCGTTCTGTCAGCACGCGATCACCTACGGGCGTTTTGTCATCGTCTTCATCGCTGGAGGGGAAGTAAATCTGCTTCTGCCTGCCCGTTTCATTAACAGGGGTAGTCGCTGGAGTCTTTGCGATCTGCAGTTTTGAGTCCCTGAGACCTTGTTGTGCAGGCGAAATTAGATCGCGAGCTCCGGGCTGTATGTTTATATCTACGGGGCGAAGCGATAGTTTCCCACATTTTCCTTCATCACTTTTTTCAGCTCTGTGCGACCTCCTTTGATGTCGACGGTAAACACTGTCTCTATCCTTTCCGAAGTTTGGACGATCTCTTACGGAAATATCAAAGCCGTTTTTGTATTCATTTCTATCGCTATATTTATGCCCAGATGATAAGCGGCGGTCAGTCGTATTACGGAAAGGTGTTTTATCCCTTGTTTTTTCACGTGAATAATTGTTTCTTTTAAATGAACTTTCACCGAACACAGCAGTTGTTAAGCTCCTCATCAAACCTCGTGGTATGACCGGTTCGGGTTCTAAAGTTTTATCACGATCTTCCTTTTCCTTACGAGCTCTTTCTTTTTTCTGTATTGCAATTTTATCTAGTACTGAGGAATACTTATCTTCTAGACGGCTACGAGTACTGCCAAGCATGAGTGTGGTGTCTATATTGTTATTATTCGCTTCTTTGAGAGGGTATCGTTTGGTGAACGGCGAAGTCTGATTATCTTTCATGTGCGCTTTGCGAAATGAGTCACTGCGGCTGAGAGCGGTTATACCGGAGGTTGAATGCAAAGGTGATGTATCGATTCTGGATTTTGTCGCGGCCAAGTAACTCGAGTATGCTCGCTCGTCATTCAACTTCCTCGTCGAAGTGGACAATCCGGATGTAAGAGACGCGTACGGTGAGATATGTCTATTGTTATCGTAACGCCGAATATTGCTCAGAATCGGGTTTTTATTCGCTAGTAATTTATTATCATAGCGATTCCGAGCGGCGGTCAGTTTAGAATCGATGACGGCGTCACTTTTCTCGGAAGGTCCTCGCCGCGTCAACCTATTGATGATGCTGGAATAGCCGTCCGACAACAACTGAGTCACGCTGGATGTCGAAGAACGGCCATAACGCTGACGTCGAGGACTAGTTGTGCTATTGCCACTGGCACTAATGCTGGCCATGTTTCTTCTATACTATTTGTTTATTATATGACGATAAAAATAAAAACTATCACTTTAACTAGGATACATATATCACAACATCTTACAAACGTCATAATTTAACATGCGACGAGTGTATGTTTTCGGCTTTTCGCGAGTCGTTCGTTCAGGGGGCGTTCAGTTCGCCAGCGCATATAAGACTGGGGCAATTCTTGATTGAGAGCGTACCGTACCTAAGAGCAAACTGATTTCAGAAAGATTACTAGCGTAGCCGAGTGCGGCCGTCGGTGCCAAGCAATGGTCGCGAACTAAAAATATCGGCAACCCGTGGGAGCGCCCTCCCGCGCACTCCGGGATGCCGCCGCGTGCGCATTTCGTCGCATTACTCGCTTCACGAATTTAATACGCGCCTTAATACACACAAATATAATAGAGGACATGCACACACACATCAACTAAAATTGTTATCATTAAGAAGTTAACACGTTTAAATACGGTATGTTTCTATTCCGGACAACAATATCGAGGAGCTATTAACATTTGGCACAAACATATGAAAAGTGCTGCTTTTACTGTAATAGACGTCTTATTTTACACTCTGACCAGTAAATCGCAGTTGAAATCTATTTATGTGTCGTTAATCACTTAAGCGTATTAGGGTCATATCTAGTGCGACTTTCACTTGAATCGTGCAACATTGTCGGTGCGATACGAGTAACCGGTGAAAACAATATCCAATGACAGATCGTTTGGTATTTCATTTCATCCTGTGTTTGTGCGATGCGACCGTCACGCTTGTAATGAGGCTCGTAACGATACCACTGATGCGTGCAGATACCTTTCTCCGAACGGCGAGCCCGAGCACCAAGACAGTTCTGTCAATATATGCTCGGTAATTGGGTCAGTGGGTGAACAATGTACCGACGTGTGCATGCATAGACCACTATATAAATACAAAAGATTAATCATCTCACCGTTGCTATCATGCATTCACAGGTCAATCTCAATCTTCATTGACCTAGCAATATCAATTCTCTTTTGCTGCTCGCCTTATCTATCTATGTACAGTGGTGAACGGATGCGGGCATAAAAAGCGTTCCCATATCATGAATATTTCTCTCGTACTTCAGCTTATCATATTGTAAACAATATACATTTGCCGGTCGTTACACTGTTATCTGTGTCGGGTATTCCGCTCCTAATGATTGATCTTACAATTTAAACTGGTTTAGTTTTCTTCTGAGTCAGTATGCTGTTAACGTTGTAATAAAACGTAGCTCAGTGCCGGGACAATAGTGCACGTTCGCCACATTCGGCGCAACAGAAAGGAAACGATGTTAAATATCTCACATTCTCGGCGTTTCATTATTGCAAGTTACTATCATTGCAGTTACATGCAATTAGTACTTTCACTACACAAACGTTTCTGCCTGATGGTGCGATTAGATTGTAATATCGAACTCGTCCCGCATTTTTAAATACGATTGGTCTTTAATGTGTTGTTGTGTAATTCACACTATATAGTTCAGTATTGAATGCATGCATATTGCATAATGTTTACACGTTCAGGTTAAATAATGTTTACATGCATGATTACCTCCGGGGAACAGTGATCATCGGTCAGAGTTAGTGTGAAAAAGTTTACGACTTCTTTAGCGACTTTTAAGACTTTTAACAGCTTCATTGTAAAATTAACTCACACATTGGTGGTTTTAAGTATAAGTTATTGTAACGTAACACTGATTAATAGTTAATTCTAACGTCAGCACTACATAAACTTAACGACCGCCTTTACTATACTATCAGCTGTTCCGAAACGTTGAAATCTCTATCAAGGGGTGCAGGTAAAACTTGCTTTCGTGCCATTGGTCCGCGAACCCCGGTTAAAACCGTTAGGGTTGTGTTGCTCCTTCAACTATTTGTTATAAAACCAGTTAGGATGTTTTATTTATTAGTGTTGCTGATGAAAAAATTAAAACGCTTTAAATATTAGCAATAGTATTGCGTTTAACAAAAAAAAAAAAAACTAACAAAGATTACTGACCTTGCCCACTATATTACTAAAAGCACCGTCAACATCGAAGAGGATTTCAGCCACTACGTTCAAAAGCTTAGTAACATCGTGCCACTTGTATCCATGATCTTTAAGGAAACGCTTGTATAGTTCGTAGAACGAAGACAAACGCAAGGGTAAGCGGATAGGATTGGATTTTAGAGCCAACTCGGTCATCTCTTTGCACTATTTATCACTGTACGGCTAAAAACTCAACGAAATCGGCGGCTGGACGCTTGAGCGTCTGCGAGGCGACTGTGTTTAGGTTAAACGAACTGTCAAGTTAGTGGCGTGGTTTTATTTTTCTAACGATGCAGCTCAGAAAAGCATAATGTAAAGAAGTACATTTTATCGCAGAAAAAAAAAAACAATCGACGGTACGTTTGCAACAGTTCGCTTCTCAACGTAAACTGATAAGTTCGTAGTAGCCATACCAATCAAAATACGCTTACAGTTTTAATGGAAGCTTCGGTTCTAACAGGATTTATCCGCGTAAGACCCGTAAAGATTCTTTGGTGTTCTTGGCGTAATAACATGTGTTAAGGGCCTTAAACTTTTTAAGCCTCAAATAGGTTCACCAAATATTAAAAGAACGAACAAACATATATTTTAATGTCCCGCCAGCAAAATTACAGAGAAGAGAATATACGACTGTCGAATGACAAGGTAGACAAAATCTATATCAGAGTAAGAAGTTGTACCTACACTGAGAAATCTCCGAAGAATGTTTTAAAGATGTAAATTGATAAAATGTCATTATTTAACGTCAAAAATAAAATATAAGATAGGACCTAAGTTGAAATTCGTCCGTTAATTTCCAATACCATTACTTCGCCTTATCGTTACAACTTTAATGAATGGAATGAATTTATCGAAACTGTCAAAGAAATAAGCGCACAGAGGTTAAAACTAGCAACAGTACGTGACATCAAGTATAATACATATATGTATATTTTTTAAACGAATGTTTATTCAAAAAAGTGTTTACAAGAACCAGTGTACAAGACGTCTAGTACTCAAACCGCCTATGCGCCTTCTAAAGGTCGCGATTCTAGCAAATTCTCCTGTACAGTGTGAGACTCACATGTCCAGCTGTGAACTGTCGCGGCCTGATGATGAAGATGTATACAGAACCAAAACACGTGTTGTACCAAAAGTTAAATGATTACTTTATGTGTTGTATGTATTGTTTTCAAGTGACGGATTTAGTATTATTTTAGTTATCACTGAAAAGATGTAACATTAAGCTTGGTAAAAGCAGATTTGGAGCAATAATATTTACTATGTGCAAGCCGATTTCAGATAGGGGATGGTGTGTACAGATCGGATTGAAGAGAAGTTATTAGCAAAAACCAAAAACCAGAAAGTTTTCTGTGTTATAGATTTAGACAGATAGATAGATAGAGATTTAGACAGTTATAGATTCGGAGAAAATCTATGAGAGTGGGATAGGGGTGTTTTATAGCACACGCTGGCCATGACTGGGTTGAGCACTGGGCTGATACAGGCAATAAAACTTCTTTGACGGGATGTTAATGCTAGTGTCAGGCATCCATAAAGTTGCCACAAAGAGTTGTGTTGCTTCTTTGTGGCAGTTTAATATGTTTATGGACAATGAGAAAGTGAGTTTGTAATAAGGGTGTGTGTTTATCAAGAGAATATAAAGCCATTGTAGCTCAGAGGCTTAGCGCTCGCTGAATATTTCACGAATGAAATTGTTAATTGCAATTGTAAGTGCAGATTGATCACGTGCTCGGCGGTAAGGTCAATATTATCGTGAGATGAAATAAAAAAAAATAGAAGACATGGAACGTCCGCAAACACGCATCGGCGCAGCACGATCAACACTTCCTTGCTCTAGGCTCTTGCCTGCCATTAACAACTATGTCATAGATGACTCTCAATGAAAAACTAAATAATTGTGTGATAAGACTGTGGTTTGCAAGATGTTGTGACCAGGATTAAGAATGGGATGTTTTCGTGTTTTGGACACGTAGAAAAAGTTAATAAGGAAAGAGTAACAAAGCAAGTTTATGCTGCAGAAGCGAGTGGTTGAGTAAGCAAGATATATCGAAGATGGATTAAGAGTACCCTTAACCAACGAGCATGTTTTTTATAGAATAAGGGTGACAAACGAGCACACAGTCTACCTGTGTGTGTCCAGTATTCTGTGAGAGTCGTACTTCATAGGTTGAGACGACACATTTATGCTACAATCATAATATAGCTTTAGCTTGGTTCTACCACGTAGTATGCAAAAAAATAATATGCGAATGTGAATAAAGCGAGAGAAGTGTGTCAGGATCATGTCAATCGGAAGTCCGTACTCTCCGGATACCCCTTTGCGTATAATACTATCAATTGTCTTGGTAGCTTTAAATAGGTACTGTTTTTTTTTTCATTATAATCGCAATTATATAAGTCTGTTTTTGTTATTGCGATTTTTGCAAAACAAAGTTAACTTTTATGTATTAACTGCCAACGCACATAACGACTATGATGACATCCAAAGTTACGCACTATATTATGGTTGTAGCACGAATGAGTCGGCTCGACCGGGGAAGGACCACGCTCTCACAGAATACCAGCGTCAAATAGCAGCTCTATGATATACTGTGTTTCGTATGGTGAGTTTAAAGAACCGGAGACGCTATTTACAGGAAACGAGGCAATCCAACTTAATTCTCAGGAGTGGCAACGCATCAGCATATTGATTCCTAATCGAAGATAAATGTAGGTCTGTGGGTCACAGCAACCACATAACATCAGGTGGTCTGTGTGCGCGTTTGTCACCCTTGTTCAATAAAAGAAAAATTATAACAATATCCAAACTACTCCTCGTTTAGCATCAGCTTATTGAGAAATTGTCGCCGTAGTTGAAATTCCACCTGGACGACATTACCACAATGAGCCCTTGTTTGCAAGATTGCTCGATAGACTTTGTAACGCACTGCTGTTTTTTTCAGTG